TTCGAGTGGAAGTCAAGAATGCATCTGTCTTTCAGTGGAACGCCAGAGGACCGAAGTCGCGCATGTCTGACTTTATTCAGTTTGCATTTGTGAACCGCTTCCCCATTATCGTGATTTGTGAACCCAACCTGTCTGCTTCCATCCAACTGTCAGGATATGAGTGCTTTATGTTCTCCACTCACAGAGACTGCAGCAAGGTTATTGTATTCATGCGCCGTGACCTCAATTACGTTCACCACAGAGTCTCGCCAGATAAAGGGAATCAATATGTGGGCCTTACTGTGAAGAAGGATAAGGTTCCTTTCACGATTATCGGAGCTTGTTTATCTTCATCAAGCCGCCTTGACTGCGAGTACCTATACGCCGTATTCTGACATCGACTCCAAGGCCATGGGTGATCACTTGCGCCTTTAATGCCCACCACTTCCTATGGGAAAGCTCCAGGGTTAACTTTAGAGGAAGAAAATTGGTGTCCTTAGCCTCAGAGTATGAACTCTGCGCTTGTAATGATGGAAGCCTTACATATTTACGCGGATCAGCCTATAGCAGCTGTCTGGACCTTACGTTGGTTTCTCGCTGACTTACCAGGAAAGTGCACTGATTTTCGGATCTGGAAACGCGGGGTTACGACCATTTGTCAACTTTCCTGTGGATAGAAGGTTTCACCAGCTCCAAGTTCCCAAGAGCCCTCAAATACACCGATTGGCCGAAATTCAAAATGTTAATGCAAGACTGCTGTATCGATGGCTCATCATATAACCTAGAGGACTCGATAAAGAATGTTCTGCAGAATACCACGCATTCACTTTTGACTAGTCAAAAGCGCACCGATTTCAACATCGAGCTTGAGAAACTTCGCGCAATACGCCGTCGTGCAGAACGAAGGTACCGACGGACAAAGTGCATGGATGATTTGAGGCTGGCTAGACGCATTCAAAAGAAAATGCAGCGGCACATGAACAAACAGGCTTGGCGATGTTGGACATCCTTCTATGAGTCGTTGGATCCACGAAAGCCCCTATCACTGATACGGCGAACTGTCCGGGGTCTTAGCCCAACCTTTGGTCAGCGACACCCGTTTACATCTTTGGCACTTTTCCTACAATGCAGAGAGATTGCCGTCGCAGAATTCTTCTGTAGAAGAATTGCCGGTGATTCCGATTTACGGTATCAAGAATGGAAACACTTGACAACCCACCACCCTCTCGTGATCCCCGTATAGAAGGCCAGTTTTCTATGGATTAGCTAGAGGCGGCACTGGCACTGTGCAGACGTTCTTCAGCACCCGGACCAGACGGCATTACCTATCGTGCCCTTTGTAATCTTGGAGAGGGAGCTCAGAAGGCACTTTTACGCCTATACAACGACTCCTGGCAGACTGGTACGGTTCTCCAGGCATGGAAGTCAAGTCGCCTCATTCCACTTCTAAATTCTGGTGAATCTCCTTTGAATACTGCCTCATACCGTCCTATCGCGCTAGCCAGTTGTGTGGTGTGGCATACTTTTGTAGCACCCTCTACATCATCATTGGCATTCATCATCATCACCATTGTCATACCCATCGCACCGCGCCTCTCGCGCAGCTCATGCATAGCTCGAGCTGCGCGAGGATAGAAGGAGCTTTTCACCTGGCGGTTTGGACGCTGCAGCTGCTGCCGCTCCGCTTCGGCAAATCGCCTTAGATAATAAAGTGGCGAGAGAACGACACGACCACGTTGGCTGCGGTCCCGTCCTCCTCTTTTGCTACAGTGGGAAAAACAATGGAACGAATGAGTGGTATTTAGAGCACTACCAAATATATCCAGTATTCATGACCGGATTCAGGCGCGGCCATTCGTCAATCGACAACGTTATTGATCTGGTGACGTATGTTCAACACCAGAAAGCCCATAAGAGACTGTGTGAAACCCTTTTTCTAGACGTGAAGGGGGCTTACGATAATGTCACCCATGAAGCCATCCTTAGTGCTTTGGAAACAGTAGGTCTTGGTGGCAAAATATACATGTCGGTGTACAGCTATTCACCGCTGAGATCATTTTACGTGATGACAGCGAATGGCCCAACACCTGACTATTACAGCAGCCGAGGAGCTCCTCAGGGAGGAGTGCTAAGCCCTACACTTGTCAATCTAACTCTCATACGACTAGTTGAGTGCCTACCTAGCATTGTAGAACTTTCTATCTACGCTGATGGCATCTGCATTTGGACATCAGGTGTCACAAGGCCTCAGGTTCGCGCCCTCCTTCAGAAGGCTGCTACAATGACGTCATGCTACCTTCGTAAAAAAGGCCTCGAGGTGTCGTGCGGAAAGTGTGCAGTGTAGCATTCATGCGGAAACCAATGTCTACTTACAGCATATCGATTAATGAAGAATACACATCGTTCAGTAGAAGCGACAGGTTCTTGGGAGTCATAATAGACAGAAACCTGTTATGGACTCCCCACGTGAACTATGTGAAGAAACGGCTGATCGCAACAAGCCACATGTTCAAATTCCTTGCAGGAAAGAATTGTGGAGTGCCCATACCATTCATGCTACAACTGTACAGAGTGATGTTTATCGGATTCTTACTGTACAGCTTACCTGCAATATCTAACACCAGCAAGACCAACCAGCGCGCAATTCAGAGCATTCAAGCCCAAGCACTTGAGATATGCCTTGGATTACCCCGCAGTGCTTCAACGGCTGAAACGATTCTCATCGCTCGAGATCACTCGATAAACACGCATAATATTACCGAGAAAATGCGCATGCACCTCAGGCATTATGCCAGGACCCCTTCTCACCACCTGGCAAACCTAGCTGCTGAAAGGCCCCTTACGACATACGGTGCTACTGTCTACAAGCATCGTTCATCGTTTACTGAGACGGACGCACCCGCACCAAAGCTACTGCTTCCTTCTTGGAGCTTGAGCCAGCCGCGTGTTCATTAAATTATTCCAGGAATGGGGAGAAAATTGGATTTACTGACACATGCCCTGAAACAACAGAGTCTATTCCTACTGGAACAAAACTACACTAACCACGTGCCCATTTACATGGATGGCTCGACTACGCCGTCTAGTTCAGGTGGAGCAGTGGTTATACCAGCACAAGGGGTAACTCGGTATTTTAAGACTTCACATGTGACAGCGGCAATGAGTGCAAAACTCGAGGATCTGCGCAGTGCACTGAAACTCATCCATTCCAAAGAAAACCAGGTAAATGGGCCGTGTTTTCTGACTCAAAACCAGCGCTACAGTGCCTGCTATCGGTTCTCCGACGCGGATGCCACGACCAGTTGACCTACCAAACCGTGAAACTTCACCTTTTAATACAAAAAGGCCACGACATCGTCTTTCAGTGGTTACCTGGGCACTGTGGTATAGGCGTAAATGATTCTGCAGATCATGCCACTCGCACGTCACATGAAGAAGCAAACAGCGTTCCAATTCCGCTTTCAAGAGCGGACGTGGCGAGGCAGATTGGTCAACTGGCCCGCAGTCTCACACTGACTGAGTCGAACACACCAAGCATACGACGTACAAGACTGCATGAGCTTGACTCTTCACTACAACTCCGGCCTTCACCCAGCCTATATCGACGTGAAGCTTCGCTTCCCTTCACCTTTGGCTGGGAGTTGCTTTCACGAAAGCTTATACCACGTCAATCAAAATTAGTGACAGTGCGGCGTGCGATGTTTGCGGCACCGACGAAAATATCGAATACCTGCTGTGCCACTGTCCTTGATTTGCCTCAGATTGATTGACATGTACTTGCCAACGCAATGCGGCGACTGGATAGACAGGCTTGAGTAAGACAGGCTTGTGTGAATGCCTCTGAGATGCGGTAGAGTTCTACACGCTGCAGCGAAATTACTGTCAGTCTCCCCCCCCCCTTTTTTCCCTCTCTTCCCACTTTCTCATCTTTCTTGTCCCCTTGCCTGATCCCCCAGCGTAGGGTAGCCAACCGGATGTCTTTCTGGTTCACCGCCCTGCCTTCTCCCTTTTGTTGCTTCCCTTCCCAAGAACGGCCATAACACGCATGGGTAACTTTAACGCTTCAGCGTTAAAAAAAGTGGCTATAGGCAGCGTTGACCAGGCGGATTCAAACGATAAATATCAGTGTCCCAGCAGAAATTGAGCCCTAGTATTCTTCGTGGCGATGAAATATTCTACCACAGAGCCACGCCAGGCCTCCGTTATAGTTTTTAATAGACCACAATGTTCGTGTGACGTCATTGGTCACCGCAGTACTGGCTGTCTTAATCTACAAACATTTCATATATACTCCTATGATACGACCGTCATCTATGGTTAACGTAAACTGTAGTTATGCGCCATCCGCTGAAGCTGAATTGTGTAGCAGTGTTGAGGGCTACTATCCTCGCGCGCACTAGCGTAAACACCTGCGCTTCATATCACTCAACCACTTCTGGTGCTGCTAATATTCATGTTGCTGTTGGCATCGTTACGGAACTGTAAGCAACTGCTAATTTTCAACACACATGGCTGTTTAACATATGTGTGTGCGTGCATTTGTACATATATTTTTGGCGCTTCATAACGTCTCGCTCAGTAAAAAATTTAAAAAAAAACATATTCACCTTGCACACTTCGTATGACGTTGATTCCCAAGGTACGTGGGATTCGCTGAATTATTCCAAGGTGGCTCTTCTAATAAAGAGATGGGAAAAATGAGAGGGCATCAGATATCAAACAAGGGCAGCCGATGCTATTCCTTAAGCGGAAAAAGGGGAGCTGAGACCCCGTAAATGCGCAGAGAGTAAAGGGAACATACTGTACACCAAAGGATCAGAAACGCAGACGAGAAGGGCAGCGAGTTCGTGGTATAGATGGGGATGATCAAGTTTCTTAGATGATGCGTTAAAAGAAATGGTGAGTTTGGGGAGATTATAAGTTTAGTGGTTAGCGAGGCGCTGCCACTCTTACCTTTACCGGCACCATGCTTTGTCAACGCTACTTTGATGCCCGCATGTCATTGTTGTCTTCTGGCGCAGGACAGTACTGGTTGCCTGTGTGGCTTACTCTTCGCGCCGACAGGTGACGCAGATGACGCGTCGTCTTGCACAGGCCGTGAAGAAGGGAGAGCTTCGTTCAGAGTGAGTTCCCTGTAGAAGTTGTAATAGCCGTAGTAGTAGTATTACTAGTTGTTGTAGTGGTAGTAGCAGTAGTAGTATTAGCAGTAGTAATAGTAATAGTAGTAGTAGTAGTAGTAGTTGTAGTAGTAGTAGTAGTAGTAACAGCAGCAGTCAGTTGTACTTTTAAAGAACATGTTGCAACTGTGCGAAGGAACAAAAGGAAGAGGGGACCAGTCTGATGACACGAACAGGTGCAGACACACACTGCACCTCTTGTGTTTTCCTCACTTGTGTTCCCGTACGTCTTCATGTAGTTACACTATGAACCAGTAGCGAATTTCTGAACTTACCACTCTTCTCTATAACATTAACCCTACTGGTGGTATACCAACAATTGTAGTAGTAGACATGTCTTCGATGAAAACATGACATCTAAGTCTACAACGTCTTGAATAAAAAATTACCTCACTGAAGTGTTCACTGGAAGAGCGCGATATGTGCTCTTTTTAGGTACCGCTATATCCCGAATCGTCGCCCACATTCCCACCATATTAAATTCATAATAAGTAGTTCAGTGGAGGCTGTTCTAGTGTTGAAAATTGTAAAGCAAAAATATCTGTGGTTTGATGTGGCAGAACCGTGGTATGAATATGAAGCACGCCGTAGTGGAGGACCTCCGAAACTTCGACAATCTGGTGTGCTTTAAGGTGTTTTGGCATCACACTGCAAACACGGATCTCTAGCACGTCTCCTTAATCGAAACTCAAATGTCATCACTGGGATTGAACCAGGAACCTTCGCGCCAGCATCCGAGCACCGTAATCATAATTCTAACGAGATGAACTTCAAAGTTGAAAAAAAGAAGTTTTTTTTTTTCAGTTTTCTGTGCAGCCTGGAGTGACAGCAGATTGAACATTTTAACCGGAGGTTGTTCGCCAGTGTGAAAAAGTAACGTTTGCTCTCCGAGAAGTCTAGTGCGTGCGTATCACGATAATCACTCCTGCGAAGCCACTTTTTACGCATTATGTGATAGAACAGACTGTAACGCAACAAAATGATGAAAGGCAGAAAACAGCCCCGTGTCGGGGGAAAATATTCACAAATGTTTTCACCACATCAAAAATTACAGAATTGTATAGCTGAACATCAAGATTAACAGACAATGTTTTTTGAAACTGGAATATAAGGGCGCGATGACTTTCACAATTTACTTGTTGTAATGTGTTGATTGTGTGCCAGGTGATGTCACAATTTCACGGCACGTTCGGTGGTGAGAAGTGGTTGCGACAAGCGCCAGTTGTCTCAGCGTGGTATTCAAGTTAGTCAAACACAACAAGGCTAATTCGGTTCTTCGGCCATAGTGCTTACGTTTTGACCCTAGCCAATTAGGTCGTGCAGAGACCATTATATAATTTGTTTTATCGGACAGAACAATACCTCGGTCCAATCTGAGGCTGTCGTTAGCCAAAATGATTGCCGGTACTGCCATTTTCGGTTGCTTTACATTCTTCTGGCAGTCAGACGAGCATCGACCAATTTGGTGTGGGTCGCTCTTATGCTCTTGAGGTATTTCCCCTCGTTCCTTTTGCAGAACCTTTAAAGAATAGCTATCCTGATGAACAGGTTTCAGCAGCGTCTGCGGTCAGTCTGGGCTCAAGGGTGAACGCAGGACGAAGTGAAACAAAAAGAAAACTTTGATTTAAATTATAAAGCATAAAAAAATTGGCAGCATATCCACGGAGTGAATGATGTAGAGTGGGGCGAAGCATTCGTCCGTCCATTCGTTCTTGCTTCCTTCCGTCCATGCGTCCGTCTGTGTGACCGTCCATGCGTCCATCCGCCTGTCTGTGCGTGCGTCTGTTCGTGCGTCCGTTCGTGCGTTTGTCCATGCGTCCGCCCCTGCGTCCGTTCATGCGCCCATTCATGCATCTGTCTGTGTGTCCGTTCGTCCATCTATTCAACACTCCAAGCACCCCCATCCCGCATCTTTCATCATATATTCCCCATATTGAAACATCGCCATCCAGCGGATATTCCAAGGCTTAAACAAGAAATGGCACACGCACACTTTCTTACGGCTTGCGCTTCGGGTCTACTTCCCATCTTTAACCACCTCGAGCTCATGGTATATACTAGTTCACTGTATTCATGGCACTGTGGCCCAATGCTCTCTAAACCATTTTAAAACCAAGCAGGTTACGCCAAGCGAGTACAACGTAGCAACCTTTTCCTGTCAGATAGTGCTCAGTGTACATGTCAATGGCAGCTAATGGGAAATGAGAGACAGGAGAATTCGGCATTTACTTTCTTACAGCTTGCGCTTCGTATATGCTTCCCACCTTTAACCACCTCGACTTCATTTATGGTATATACTAGTTAATTGTATTCATGGCACTGCGGCTCAACGGTTGCTAAACCTTTCTAAAACAAAGGAGGTTACACCCAGCGAGTATAACGTAGCAACCCTTTCTTGTCAGATAGTGCTCAATGTACATGCCAATGGCTGCTAATGGGGATCCAGGCGTGCGCGGTAACTAAAAGCCGAATGCTCCTGTCTCTTATTCTCCATTAGCAGCCATTGGCATGTACATTGAGCCATATTTTTTATTGTTCAACAACGCACAGAAAAAGTTTCTCACCGGCACCACCTTGGAGGTCAAAATGTTATACTTGTTACACACTACAACGGCTACGAGGGATTGTTGTTGTTGTTGTTGTTGTTTTAACTGTTTTGCTGTGGAGAGGTTGAGGAGCCTATTGCCTCGGCTACTCCATATCACAGAGTTCTGCAGCGAAAAATAAAAAAATAATACAGAACGGTACCCAAAAATTAACAATACGGAAAAGGAAAAAAAACACATAATAGCACACTGAAACCAGTTCAAATAACATGTCAATACACAGTTTTCTTCACGCAGTTCACACAGTCATAAACTACTTTCACGCACACCTTACTACTCTAATGCCAGTATATACATGACCACCCTTTACATAATACTCATTTCTGGCTGTCAGTCATAGGCGCTTGTCCAGTCCGGTCTCCACTAAAAAGTCTGTCAGGAAGATTATTGCCTTTTTCTGAAGATGCATCTCAGGCCATGGTCCAAGTAGTTTCTTTAGTGTGAGGGGCCGTCTGTCCAAACTTGCTAATTTGTTCCTTAATTTTTCTCTTTCTTTCGCGTATTTAATGCACTCCAAAAGAATATGGCGAACATTTTCTTCTGCATGACCACAATGGCATTCCGGTGAGTTGGATCGATGTATCTTGTGCAGGAAGCTGTTTGTGTATGCTACTTCCAATCTAAGTCGGTGGATCAATGTCTCTAGGTGTCGTGGAAGGTCTGTCGCTATGGAAAATTTTCTGTGTGGATCAACTTCATAAAGTACCGTTTCCTTTGATTTAGGGCTCTCAAACCACTTCTCCATCGAACAATGGTTAGCTCCTTGCGATATAAAATGTCGAATATCCGTCCCAGATATAGGGATTGTGCAATCCCGTCCTTCCTTCAATGCTTTCTTCGCGAGACTATCAGCATCTTCATTTCCCTTTATTCCAATGTGGCTGGGTATCCATTAGAATACGATGTTGTGACCCTGCGATGAGGCATATTCCACAGTTTCTGCGATACATTGTGGTATTTCACCATTTCTGTAAGGTGATCTCACATTTCTGATTAGCTGAAGAGCAGGTTTGCTATCAGTGCATATCACCCATTTTCGTGGATCTGGATTCTCGCAGATAAGCTTAACTGCTTCAAAGATAGCCACCAATTCTGCTGTCGTCGATGAAGATTTGTGCGATAATTTGTACATCTTCTTTTCCTGAATTTCGGGTATAAAGACCGCACAGGCTGACGCTTCTTCTGTGCATGATCCATCTGTATATATCTTCGTTTTTTCATTATGCATTACATGAAGCTGATGAAGTACCAACTGTGCCGCTACTAGAGGTGCCATGGCTGCTTTCTTCTCTATGCCGTCTATTTCACGGATAACGTTGAGAAGTGGCAGCGTCCAAGGTGGTTTTGAAGGTTTCCATTGTTTAAATTCTGGTACTACTGCTTGAAATGATGATATAGTATCCTGTAGTCTCGTTGCCGTTCTTTGTGTTAGTGCACCAGATAAAAAATGACTTTCATGTTGCGTGAAAATTCTAAATAAATTTCGAGATGTTTCTTTAGTTCGCAGTACTGCCAAAGGTGGCTCTCGAGCCTCCGCATACACTAAATCACTGGAAGTTGACCGTGGTAAACCCAGACATACCCTCAAGCTCCTTGCCAATAACAAGTGCAGTCTCCTTTCGGTGGAGGCTGGGAGTCCGTGCAGCAGGGGCAGTGAGTAAGTTACGATGGGGCGTATCCAGGCAACATGTAGGGCTAATAACGACTCTGTAGTACCACCCCATTTGGCCCCGCAGAGATGCCGGAGGATTCGAATTGCCTGATTCACTTTTTGTTCCAGGGACTGGACATGAGGCGACCATGTTAGTCTCCGGTCTAAAATTACTCCCAAGAATTTATGAGTTTTGACCATTTTAATAGGCTGATTTTGCAGAATAATCTGGAAATTTCCAGGTCTCTTTAATGTAAACGGAAGTATGGCTGTTTTGGCCAGACTCAGTGTCATACCTCTTTGTTTTAGAAAATGGTCTACATTATCCAATCCTTCTTGTAGAGTTTGTTGTATATCCAAAAACGATGGACCAGACGTCCATATACTTATATCATCAGCATATACTGAACATCTGATGTTGGGTGGAAGATTATACGGGAGCTGCGCCATGACTGCATTAAAGATTAAGGCTCGTCAGACTAGCAGCAGCAAAGTGTTCATCTTAAAGTCTGAGAACGACCTTCGGGTTTTCAACTAAGTCGCGTGTCATCGATTCTAGGGACAATTCTCTCTCTCTCTCTCTTTTTCTAATTTTTTTTTTTTTCCTTGACGTGTACTTGTCAATCATGTCCTTTTCTGCTGAAGAATTTATTTCGTTTCTATCTGACAATCAACGCTCTCTAGTTCAT